ACTCCAGCATAAACAAAGTCACACTGACGATGTGTCAACCACTCCCTCGTATTTTTGTACAATTTCCTTCTTCAATTATATCATATTTATTATATTATTATATATTATTATATTATTATTATTATTATTATTATATTATTATTATTATTATTATTATTATTATTATTATTATTATTATTATTATTATTTATTATTATTATTATTATTATTATTATTATTATTATTATTATTATTATAATTATTATTATTATTATTATTAATTATTATTATTATTTATTATTATTATTATTTTTATTATTATTATTATTATTATTATTATTTTTATTATTATTATTATTAGCTGTAGCAGAAATGTTTAATTCTTTGCAGTGTGCATGAGTAAACACATGATGTCACCGTCTAATACCTGTCTGAATAGCCATTCCAATATGCAGTCATGAATGGGTTTACATTATTTATACTGTAGTTTAATAACAAATAATGAACAAACAAAACACTCACCACACAGTGGTGGGAGGGCTGGCTGCCAGTTGTGGGGGTCGGAGGGAGGGTAGTACGGACTCGCAGGTGGCGGGAAACTTAAATATGATTTGGCGGCTGGGAATTTGGTGGCTGGGAATTTGGCAGTTGGGAATTCGCGAATGTGTGAAGCCTGTGAAAGTTGAAAACGTGAATGTTGAGGGAGACCTGTAATATACAGTACACTGCTTTATGAACATTTAAAAATATACCAGAAATATTATAAATGGTACAGAAGTGACATTAAAACAATATCAAAGATGGTTGACACAAACCCACTAACATTATAGTGTGCTCCTCACTTAGTGACAAATTTGTTTACTGACGTGGTCTTAGGAATAGAACTCCGTCGTTAGGTAAGGAGAGGCTGTACCTAAATAGGTGATGGCAGTAGCACCTGAGCATAAACATATGCTATCTCCCCCTATCTCACCTATGGAATTTGTGCATGGGGCTCAACAACAATTAACCATCTCAGACCACTAATTACCCAACAAAAGGCTGCAGTTAGAATGATAACAAATTCTCACTTCAGGCAGCACACTCCACCAATATTCAAAACACTCAACCTACTCACCATACAAAACATCCATACTTATTACTGCACCTATTACATACATAGAACACTTAACTCTGATATTAACCCTCCCCTCAAACATCTCCTTGCCAACCTCAACAGAACACATGACCATAACACAAGGCACAGATCACTCTTTGATGTTCCTCGTGTCCATCTCACGCTATGCAAAAACTCAATGCACATAAAAGGCCCTAAAATCTGGAATTCATTACCTGTAAATATAAAAGAAACACTACCTGTTTATAAATTCAAGTCTCTTCTCAAAGATCACTTACTCACTCAAAACCAAATAAATACTGAATAACTGAACCTTATAAATTGTATATCCTATATGTTACTCACAATTATATCACACAAATGTTAAACCTAGGACCCAATCTAACTTTGTTATTTTTTTAAATACACTACCTAACAGAATACTCCATTCGACTGAATGTACAGCAATGCATGCAACCATATGACCTGTCTTTGTAATACTCATTTGTGCTTTATAGTTATCTGTTTACAATAATGTTTTATCACTGATTTCATCATTGCTTAGTTAATCTTAAGTTAATTTTAAGCCAGCCCGTAATGCTATGCATATAAGTGGCTTTGGCATGCTGCTCTTACCTGTATTTTTTGTACCTCTGTATGTATGCTAAAATTACTAAATAAATAAATAAATAAATACAGACATTAATTATTTAGTTATTCAAGTTATAAATCGTATGAGGTTTAGGAGTTTTTTTTTTAACAAGTTTCAAAGCAGTCGGTAGACGTGGAACTTTTTATATCCTCGGGTAGTGAATTCCATATTTTGGGTCCTTTGTTTCAGATGTGCATTTACTCTCAGAAGTTATATCTCTTAGAATATTGCTGTAATCTAGAAGAGGAGAGATTTGGCATGGGGAAAGCCATTTTATACATTTATTTGGAATAAAATCTACTCCACGAGGGAGGTTCTTTGATGCTGGTGAGGGACTCTTGATCTAGGGAATTGGATCTGTGCTCCGGTTCCCTGAGTTGAACCTGAATACCTTCCTTCCCATCCCCCCCACGTGTGCTATGTAATCCTACCGGTTTAGCACTCCATGATTATAACAATTATTATAATGGAATAAAATCTTACAGTTTAAGGGTGGTGCATCAAGATAAAAGGAAATGGTTGCAGTGGATAAACTTGCGATTAATGGAATCTGTAGAATTCTCTTAAGTAAATAATTGTACAGTCAAATCTTGCCGTTTATACTGCTTGCCAATTTGGGGGGTTTGACTGTTCCACAATTCTTGCTAACTCTTGGGATTCTTGAACTGTAGGTACAATTTTTTTCTTTATCGAGTTACATAGTAGTGTAGTGTACACCTATTTGTAGATACCACATTTGGTGTAAATAACATTGGTAAGAGACAAGTAAAATGCAGATAATTTATTGTATATTTTATAGAAGGAAGTCATTACATCTTGTGGGAATATGAGCAACAGGAGATTGATAATGTGGTGAGGGGCAAAATATATAATTACAGAGGTATTGTACCACTTATGATATGCTTTAGTAGTGTAGTTAAAAAGTTTTAACTATGGTAGAGTATATTTCTGGAGGGTGTTCCAGGAGTTAACACCCTTGTGGCCCGGTCCATGACCAGGCCTCGATATACCATAATTTTTTTGTGTATTTTAAAGTAATAAGAGGATTCAGCATTTATAAGTAAAGTTGTAGGTGAATCTGGTCCTTCCAGGGGTTGGTGTGGTAATCTACACTATGTATGGTAATTATACTTGTGTACCTGTGCCTAAATATATTTACTTACTTAGGGAATAGAATGTTAGTGCTTGTTGGTTTCTACTCTGATAGCTCTTGTTTATACAAGGCTACAGTTCCTCTTTAATGGGACATTTTTAACACTGGCCCATATGTTATTAGTGGCTAGAAAAACTTGAACCCCAAAGGGCTAACCTAGCATAACCCAAGAAAGCCAGTGTGGCTTATCTTCATTTAGGTCATTGGGTCCTCTACCCCCAAGATGCAACCCACAACATCAGATTTACTGTATTCTTAGCTACCTATTTACTTAGGTAAATGACCAGCAGGGGTAAGGAGATGCCTTGTGTTTCCTCTCGCTGGAGGATCAAGTGAGGGTGTTTTTAGATTGTGAGCCAAGTGAACTCCACAGAGATTGTTTAGAATATTAGTACTGTACTATACTAATATTCAGACAAACTTAAATTATAAAAATACGTAAACTATTTTGGATATTTATACCATTTACAATTTGTATCAGTAACAATGATAAAAATTAGAGTTTAGGATTAATTAATTGAACTTTTTCAAATACAGTGGACCCCCGACATTAGATGGCATCGACATTCGATAAATCCGACATTCGATGCATTTTAACACAAAAATTTCGCCTCGACATTCGATGGAAAACCCGACATTCGATACGATTCGTACGAGACATGTCCATGTGTGGCCTGAACTGCCCCGTGTGTGCCAGTGTTTACAAGCCAGCCAGTGTGTGCGCATCTAAGGATACATTCAGTACATTCCATATTATCACTGTTTTTGGTGCTTGTTTCTGCCAAATAAGTAACCATGGGCCCCAAGAAAGCTTCTAGCGCCAACCCTTCGAGAAAAAAGGTGCTAATGACTATTGAAATGAAGAAAGAGATAATTGCAAAGTACGAAAGTGGAGTGCGTGTGTTGGAGTGCATGATGATTTGGTAAAGAAATTGACTGCAACTAGTGGTGATGTGAGTGAAGTTAAGGCCAGCAAAGGTTGGTTTGAAAGATTTAAGAATCATAGTGGCATACACAGTGTGGCAAGGCATAGTGAGGCTGCCAGTTCAAGTCCTAATGGAAGGGGATTCCCCTTCTAAACACTAACACCATCCACACACTCCCCTCCTCCCATCCCATCAATCATCACCAGATCTTCATTAAAGGTAAGTGTCAATTATTCTATTGTTATTAATCTATTGTTATTGTTGTTATTGTAATTATTCTATTGCATTAAACTTAATATTTCATTTGGGTGTCTTGCACGGATTAATTTGATTTCCATTATTTCTTAAGGGGAAAATTAATTCGACTTTTGATATTTTCAACATTCGATAGCTCTCAGGAACGGATTAGTATCGAACGTCGAGTGTCCACTGTATAGTATTTTTGTAATAGGACATGTCTTGAAAATAAGATGATAGATTGAATAGTAAGACATTTGTATAGAATGCTAAACGTGCATCATTTTGTTACTGAAATTTAATAACATTACTGGTAGTTAAATTACACACAAAATGAGGACTTAGCTGTGAAGCAGTAAAGTAGAGCCATTAAAGATAAAAAAAAAACAATGTGGTTAGTGGTTATATTACTTGCAGATAACTGTGATAATGAGATTGAACATGATATTATGCATATACTGTTTGTAAACCTGAGATGTATTACAGTAAGTTTATTCAGGTACAGGTACACACAATCAGTTACATAGATTATCATACATAGTACCATATGTGTAATTACCTAGGATAACTCAGAAAAAAGTCAGTGACCTATTTCCATTGGGGTTCTTGTAAAGTCTTATTATTATGACTATGCAGACAGTTAGAGGGTGGGTGGGGGACATTTTATATTACATAAGCTATGTTTAATAATTAAAATACATATTTTTATTTTCTTCACTTGTATTTTATTGCACAGAGTTTAATTCTTCCTCTGTGCTAATTTATTTTCTTTAAGCTTGTACAATGCTGCATGTAGAAATTAATGAACAATACTTCATAAAGATAGTAAGTTTCATTTACGTTTTGATAATACAAAACCGTAACGCTTGTTTTTGAAATTAGATACAAAAGTGATCATGTTTTGTGGTTACAATGCTATCCATTTATCCATACATTGATTATATTAATTATTTCCAGGGGATAGCAAAACTAAGCTGGTGTGCGTGTACCATGGAGAGAGCAACAGTGTGGTGGTGTGTGGAGGACGGACAGTGGGGATGCGGCGTGACCATCATGGCGTTCTTCTTCTGGGTACTGTCCTCCAGGCTCCTGTGGCTGCACCAGAGGAAACAGTCATTGTGGAGATGCTATTATCAGAGGTAAAAAAAAAATACTCGAGATGGTTGTGGAAGTTGGGGGGATACTTAAATTAGAAAGGATGTACAGGCATACCTTATTAATACAGTGCTCACTTTAGAGCACTTCGCTAATATGGCATTTTTCAATCATATTCATATTTATTATTTTATTTATTATTTATTATTTTTGCTCTTGAGATAGTTTTTGGCAATTTTCAAATTTTTATTTATTTTCTCTTTTGCATCTTTATTTAGGTTTAGTGCTATTGCACACTTAATAAATGATAGTGTAAGCACGTTTTTAGGCTTTTATATGCATTGGTAGTGGAAAGAATAGGCTGTGATTTGCTTTAAGGTGACAGCTTTACGACGGCGGTTTGGAACTTAACGTGCCGTATTAGTGAGGTATGCCTGTACTGTATTCATGTTCAGCACATGTTAGTGTGTTTGTAATTATTTATTTGTAGTTGCATAAATAGAGCTGTGCTCCTGATGTTTTGTATTCACTTATTTTTTGAAACACACTGGCCAACTTGCACCAAAGTAAGGTGACTCAAAAAATAAAAGACCAATATTTCATTCAATAGCTGTCATGCCAGAAAGACTCAGAAATCACAATTCAAAATTTCCAGTAGTTTTGATGGATATTGTACTTCTGTATTTTTAAGACTATTGCAGCCATCCACCACTGTGATATGTCTACATACTTCATGCTTTACTATATCTTCTAAACCTTGTTCTCCATAATGTGCCTTGTTTTCACTGTTAACAAAAGGATTACCCTATGACCTGATGTGGTGTTGGACTGTGACCTAAGTAACATTTATGAAGGGATTCAGGGAAACCAGAGATGGGAAGTACGGTGTCTGTACTCTGAAGAAGGGGTGGGAGTGTTTGCAGTTTTGAACTGTACTATTGGCACCCCTCTGGCAAGACAGTGATGGAGTGAGTCATGATGAAAGAATTTCTCATTTTTCACCTTGCCTTGGTGGGAAATGGCCAATGTGCTAAGGAAAAAAAATAATGTTTTGTATCCAATCGTTTGACTATTGCAAGTTCAGTTTTGTCTTGTTGAAATAACTTCTGTGAAGACCCTTTTTTCTACTATGTACTTGTTTTTTGTAACCTCTTGACTTGCCTCCTCAGTAAAATATACATACATGATTTTAACACGAAAGCCAATCTCCCACTGAAGTAGGGTGACCCAACAAAGAGGAGAACACTTTCACCATCACTTAGTCACTGTTTCTGGACTATTTTAATCTTGGTCATTTTGAACATACAACCATAGTACAGTGCAGCAAAACCTCAATTTACTGGAATATTAGGGAGAAAGGGTGTCCAGTAATGCTGATTGCCCCTCAAATCCGAATAATGAGATTTTGTCATGATCATAACAAGGGACAGTAATGTAGCCAATGGACTTAGTTCATTGGTCCCAGACACTACCATATACGTACCATACACTCAAGTGTGTATATGGTGGATAGATGAGATTTGATTGCAGTCATTGTGTAGTTATGACTTAGAATAACTTTTATTCTGAGTTAGAGGAGGTGTGAAGCTACACTAGTTTACTTGTAGATGGCTGAGGAGATGTAGAAGCAGCAGAAGAGCTGTGAAGCTCCACTGACCTTACAGATGGTTTGGAAAACAAGTAGCAAATGATCTGAAGAATGTATCAGTCTTCAACTATTTCCCATATTGATTTTCCTCTCTTTGGACAATTTTTCCAAGTGTTAAAGCATGGATAACAGGTCAGCACATTTTTCTTTGTATTGAGAGGTCATTGTATTCGAGTTCAACTGCATCTTGTATAGGTAACATTTTTGATAACTTTTTAGTATCTTTGTCATTACTATCCTCTTCGTTGGCATCATTGTACATTTAAAGGTAAAAGTAGGCACTCGTTTATCATTAATCTGAATGGCTCAACTTCTTGTGTTGGTGCACTGCTAGCTACACGGTAAGTCTTCATATTACTTGGGAAATGGCACTACGAAAACGCTATTTCCATCCATCGCTTACCTGAAATTGGTATGCTTATATGCTCTGCTAGCATATTAGCATTAGAGTAAAGGTGACTACCCTGAACACTAACAGCACATGAATGCTTCTGAACATACCATTTGTACACAGTTTCTTGTTGATTTTTATCTTGTGCCACTTTCATATGCTTCCTACTACCAACTAATAATTTTTTTTATAGCATTTTAACTATAGTTTCAGCATACCTCTGGCAAGACAGTGATAGAATGAGCGATGATGAAAGGTTTATTCTTTTTCACATCACCCTACCTTGGTGGGAAAAGGCTAGTGTTAAAAAAATTATAGTACTTAAGAGCAAATGTTGTACGAGTCTCCTTGGTCCTATGGATATCAAATTTTATTTTTTTTAGTCCCATATTCCCATATGCTCTCAAAAATGACTTCTCCACTGCCTCTAGCTCCCTCCATGCTGCAGCATTTAAAGCATATGCCTCACACCTATGTAGAAGTATTGATTCCACTATACTCTGTTAAATTCTTAATTTGCATCCATAGGTAAACTTCTTCAGCCCATCATCTTGAGCAGTAGGCTATTTACCTAACTGAATAAACAGCTAGAAAACAATGTTTGCATTGGTTTTGTTTGTGGATTTTCCACAGAATTTTATCAGTACCTAAGGTCATGTTTGATCTTTGGTGTGATGCCGAGGATAGAGTAATGACAGGTGTTTGTTGTACATGTGCAGTGAGCAGTCTGCCCAGTGAGCAGTATGGTGGAATTGTTCTTCATACTAAGCAGAGCACCATGATGGAATCTCAATATTGTTCTTCAAATTATATGGATTACATTGACTTTACTGGGTCTCCTGTTTTATAACATTTTTTTTATTCCTTGTAGTGCACAAATACAGTAAAGAGAAGACTATTAAAAATTTCTAATTTGTTCTCATTTGTTTCTTGCAGGGTATTCAGCTGCAGCAGACGTTGGCATTTGGAGAGCTAAGTAACATAGATCATGCTGCAGAGGTGCAGGAAGTTCTGGCTCAGGGCATTGCTGCTCACCAAGCGCAGTCACGTATCAATCCAAAATTAGCAAAGGTGAGAAATTTTTAATGCTCAACATTTTTAATGACTGACAGACCTGCCTAGCATGGGCCAGTAGGCCTGCTGCAGTGCTCCTTCTTTCTTATGTTTCTGTCATGCCTGATATTTTTTATGAAGCTTAGTTATTTTTTATTCTGTTAATAAGTATTCTTAAAAATGAAACAGTTCCTCATTATCTTTATCTTATCAGCCTTTTTTACCAGCTAGTCAGGGAGACAGAAAAATGAAACTACAGTATAGTGCATTTACTCTCTCATTTTCTGTTACCTTTGCAGAAATGCACAAACATTCTGTACCAATTCAGATGATCGACTGAACCATAATATCCCCAACCACTCTTCAGAGTGCAGGCACTATACCTGCTATATCCAGAACTCAGATCTGGCTAACAGGTTTCCTTAAATCTCTTCATAGAAAGTTACTTTGCTTCCTCTCCAATAACACATCAAATACTCAATTGTTTCTACTCTAATTTAGCACACTTATACAAATTGTACTTAACCCTTTCGGGGTTTCGGCCATACTAATACGGCTTACGCGCCAGGGTTTTTGATGTACTAGTACGCATAAATTTTAGCGCCCCCAAATCTAGCAAGAGAAAGCTGGTAGGCCTACATGTGAAAGAATGGGTCTATGTGGTCAGTGTGCGCAGTATAAAAAAAATCCTGCAGAACACAGTGCGTAATGAGAAAAAAAAAAACTTTGACTGTGTTTTTGGTTTAAAACAGCGACTTTGCATTGTATTTTCGTATGGTATTTATGGTTGTATTCTAGTTTCCTGGTCTTATTTTATAGAATGGAAGACATTACAGAAATTGAGATGATTTTGATTGGTTTCACAATGAAAAGTACCTTGAAATTGAGCTCAAAGTAGCAGAAATGTTCGATTTTTGCCAAAGTTCAAAAGTAAACAAATCATGCCACGCGTCCAATACACGTCAACTGGTGAATCTAATATTCTTTCACAAGTGCGCTGGTATTATTTATACTAATTCTACATTAATACAGTAGTCTGCATAACAGTAAATCTTCTATTTTTTTGTGAGAATAAAAATTCAAAGTAGAAAGCAAAAGAAATGTAAGAGGGGCATGGGGATGTGACTAATGAACAGAGGAAATGTTATTTTAGTGCCAGGAATGTCTTTCTTGTTTATTCTGGACCCTATTTGGAAATTGGCATCTTTTGGCATTTGTGTGAAATTGGCAAAATTGCTAAATTCGAACCACTTTATTGGATAGTTGAAATGGTAAATGGGTGGTTTCTTGTACTCATTTGATAAAAAAAATGGAGTTCTAGCGAAATAGTTATGATTTTTGTTGACTAGTACACTGGAATTGGCCGAAAATAGGGCTCAAAGTGGGCAAAATCTCTGATGCGTAAACAATGTCGAGACCGCTAACTTCGTGAGAGCATAATTCCGTAAGTTTTCCTTCAAATTTCATACTTTTGGTGTCATTATGATAAGGAAAAGATTCTCTTTTTTTTCATAGGAAAAAATAATTGTTTTTTTTAAATTTTGGCGACCCTGAGAGCAAGTCTCTGAGAGGGCCTGGCGACCCTCAAAGGGTTAATAACCTCTCAAGCTGCCCTGCCAGTCAACCGTCCAAGAAGGGACAGTGAAGACTTACCTATATTTTTTTTATTCTAAATTTAATTTCCACCTCCCTTGCAAGGGGGACCTTGATTCTGGTGAAGGGCTCTTGATACAAGGAATTTGAGTTTCCATCCCTTTCCCTGTGTCAAACTTGAATACCTTTCATTCCACATACGTTGTATGATCCCTTGGAGTTTAGTGCTTTTCCCTGAATTTAATATTAACCCTTAAATGGTCCAAACGTATATATATATGTTCTCTCGCGTAGCGCCCCAAACGTATACATATACATTTCCTTTGTGATTCATTCCCTTTGGGCACGAAAAACCTGAGTCCCTTTTAGCATGAAAGAATGGGGTGGGGCATCATGTAAAACCATATGAAAAAACGGGGGGTTGCCTGGGTACCAGGGCCCTTTTTTTTCCCCTTTTAAAAAAAAAACCCCGGTTTTTTTTTTTTCTCAAAAAATTCAGGGCACTTTCCGAGATAATATAATAGTTTGGACCATTTGGGGAAAAAACCCACAAATGAATTTCCTCCTTTTACCAGTTTAAAATTTTTTAAATTTTTTTAAATATAGCGGGGGGAAAAGGCGTTTGGGCCCGAATGAAGATGTAAAGAGGTAAAAGGGGAAAAAAAAATTTTTAGCATATGAAGGTTTTAACAAAGTAGAAGTGATGCAAGGGGGAAAAGAGTATATGGAGAAAAAGGGAGAGGTTAAGAGTTTGGGTGAAGCAATGTTAAAAGAGAGCAAGGGTTAGAGTGGGTGGAATTTTAAATCAATAAATTTAATTGAAAATAGAAATTTTTTGGGAGTGAGTTTTAAAATAATTTGGGGGGAAGCCTAGGGAATTTAATAAATTTTTGGAAAAATTAAAAAAAGAAAAAAGGAGAATTGCAAAGGGACGGGGTTTTTGGGGAAAGATGGAGGGAATTTTTGAGGAATTTTTAAAATTTTTAAAAAGGGAAAGTGAAGCTGTGATTTGTGAAATAGGGAAGGAGTGGGGAAAGGGGCCAGTTGTGAGTGAGGGGGAAATTTGTGGGGGCCCTTTGGTTTAAAAATGAAAGGGAGTAAGGCGGGCGGGAATTGAGGGAAATAAAGATAAAAAGGGTTTAAAAAGCAGGTGGGGATATTTTTTAAAGTGGTTGAGGGTTGGGGAAATGTATAAGAGGGAAAAGTACTTGGGGTTTGGGAAAGAGAGCATGCAAAATTTCCCCTTTGTAAAAAGGGTTTTGGGGAAAAAAAAGAGAGTGCTAAAATTATAGGGGAAAAAGGGTCTATGCGTGAGCGTGTTTGATAGGAGTGAAGGAACAAAAGGGGTTTTTTAAAACTTGACGGGGCTGTTGGAAGGGGGCAAAGTAAATTTATGAAGGGGTTCGGGAAAAACCCCAGGCCCGGGCTTGAGGGCCTGGAGATGGGAAGTTTCAAATTTCCTGCACCTTTAAAGGGGGGGTGTTTTAAAAGTTGCAGTTTAAAAAATGTAGTGTTTAAACCCCCCTTCTGGCAAGACAGGAAGGAGTGAAAGTTTGGGGAAAGTTTTTTTTTTTTTGGGCCCCCCCTGCTTGGGGGAATCGGCCCCGGGTGATAAAAAAAAAAAAAAAAAAAAAGTCTATGGGGAAAAAAAGGTACAGTTTTATGGAAAAAGTTAAGATAAAGGAAGCCGATGAACAAGGAGGGTTTAAAGGGAAAAGGAAGGGGGTGGGGTAGACCAAGTGTTTTTAAAAGAAAAAATTAGGTGGACAAAGGGTTAAAAAGGGGTATTGGGGGTATTTATGGATTTGGGAAAAAGGGATATGCAATGACGGGTGGAAAAGGGGGGGCAAGGGCAGATGTACAAATGTAAAGGAATTGGGGTAGGTTATTGAAAGCATGAAAAAAACTTTTAAGGATAGTGAGGTTTAGGTTAGAGATAAAGGAGAGAGGGGGATTATTTTTAAAAAAATAGGCCTTAGACCCAAGGGGTTTTGTGATGTCACCAGGTTGTTTGAAAAATTTATAGATTGGGGGTAGGAGAAGTGAATGCTTTGGGGGTTGGCAGTAGATGTGGGGTTTAAAAAATAAAGAATCTAAAACAAAGTGGGAGTTGTCAAAGTTTTAATATGCTGAGGGCACGTGCTTTTGGGGGTTTTGAAGAGAAGTTTGAGAGGGTTTGGGGGATTAGTTTGGTAGGGATGTAAAATTAAAAAAAAAAAAGTTTAATAAAGGAAAGGGGTTTAAAGGGAGTGAGGTTTAAAAAAAAAAATTAGGTGACGAAAGATTGAATATCAGATTAGAAGGAGAGAATATGGAGGAGGTGAATGTATTCAGATATTTGTGCGTGGATGTGTCAGCAGATGAGTCTATGAAAGATGAGGTGAATCATAGAATTGATGAGGAAAAAAGGTAAGTGGTGCACTTAGGAGTCTGAAGAGACAAAAGAACTTTATCCATGGAAGCAAAGAGGGGAATGTAGGAGAGTATTGTTATACCAATGCTCTTCTATGGGTGTGAAACATGGGTGGTGAATGTTGCAACAAGGAGAAGGCTGGAGGCAGTGGAGATGTCATGTCTGAGGGCATGTGTGGTGTGAATATACAGTGGAACCTCAAATATCGAACTTTACTTCGGTCCAGAAGGCTGCTCGAGTGCCACTACCGAACAAATTTATTCCCATCAGGAATAATGTAAATTAGATTAGACCATTTAAGACCCTCAAAAATACACTTATAAAAGCACTTACAAAAATACACTTACATAATTGGTTGAGTTGGGAGCAGTTTGATTTTTGAGGTTCCACTGTAATGCAGAGAATTCGTAGTTTGGAAATTAGGAGGAGGTGTGGGATTGCCAAAACTATTATCCAGAGGGCTGAGGAGGGGTTGTTGAGGTGGTTTGGACATGTATAGAGGATGGAAGGCAATAGAATGAGTGAGGGGGTAAAGGAGGTTTTGTGTGTGAGGGGCTTTAACTTCCAGCAAGCATGCATGAGCATGTTAGATAGTGAATGGAGACAAATGGTTTTTAGGACTTGACGTGTTGTTGGAGTGTGAGCGAGGTAACATTTATGAATGGAGTCAAGGAAACCGGCAGGCCGGAATTGAGTACTGGAGATGGGAAGCACAGTGTCTGCGCTCTGAGGAGGGGTGTTAATGTTGCAGTTTTATAACTGAAGTGTAAGCACACTTCTGGCAAGACAGCAATGGAGTGAATGATGATGAAAGTTTTTCTTTTTCAGGCCACCCTGCCTTGGTGGGAGAAGGCCGATGTGTTAATAAAAAAAAAATTAATTATCTCATTGGCCAATCCCATTCCCCCACCCAGCAAGCTGTTTCTCTCGTCTCCAGAATCTTTTTCCCTCCCACCAAACTTTTATCCTCTAAATAACAAAAAAAGGCACAATACCGTGACTGGAACGATACACAAATAATCCTCTACTCAACACACTAAAATCTTCCTCAAAGAATAAAAAGGCACAATACTGTGACTGGAACAAAAGAAAAAGAAACTTCTGACTTTTTTGGTCTGATTTGGGAAACTTTAACTCACTTTTCCCTTTATCATTCAGCAAACACATTTCCCTAACCCCCTTTCACCAAAATTTTTTTTTCCTCCCTCACCCAAAAAGGTTTTTGTCTTCCATCAAAATGCAATACTGTGGGTTTCATTTTTTGCTGGAGCCTCTGCGCTAGAATCCCTCTGGGGGTTGCTGCGCATGTATGGGGGGTTATGAGCGAGCTCAAGCCCCTCACACGGTACCCCCAGCACTCTCTATTGCATGGGCCGATCCAGGGGTTTTGTCCCCTGCTGCCCCCTCCCACCCCAGACACGGTCAGGGTCCCCCGGGACGGCCACCAGATAGAGAGGCCTTTGCAGCGAGGCCCCCCAGGTTGGCAAACCCCTTCTTTAAATCCACACATAAATTTAAACAATAAGTGTTTGCTTAACAATTTGTAGAAGGGAGAATTATTTACAAACATTATAACTCTTCCTACGGATTCAACCTCAAACTCGGATCAGAGTCACGCACTTTTTTCCACACAGCCCCTCCAGTGGAAAAGACTGGTACCTGTTCCGATTTGCAGGTTCGAACCGGTGTGGAGAGGTAATACTGTGGAAGTGAATGTTACAAGTGTCTTAGTGTTTCTGGTGTCAGAGGAAAAGGAAAAAATTTAAGAGAAATTTGGGCTTCTACTGCAAAAAAGTGCCGATTGGCTAAATTGTGATGAATGTGAGACCAGTGATTGCTATCAGCAACACCTGGTTGACCAGGCATAAACAAGGAAGTCTACTCAGACGGGGCTGCAGGGATAATACCTCGAAACGGGTACATTGGTATAGAGTTTTGTCATGATCCCATGGATGTTCCCGGGTTTTTATTTCCCCGGGGTTTGTTCTCAACTGGCCTCGGGTTGATTCCCTTTATTTATTCGTTGGTTCTAGCACATGCGACGACATACCCCCACAGTTTGGGATCGTAAAATCGTAATAACACGTTGCAAACAAACCACAGAAAAGTGTGGTTGAACTTGTGTTGAGTGAATCGTAAAAACCAATCACTTCAAACCTCACCCTTCTGTGGTTTTTTTCATCACAGTTTGGTATCAGAACTATATTAATTTTTCTTATACTTATTTGGGGCAGGGTTTTAAAAAAATTTTGGGGCTTTTTACTTAAACATTTTGTTCAATTTTTTCTTTATTATTTCTACTACTGTAAGGTCTAGTTAACAAGTTTACTCACTGTTATCATTGTTGTATTCATGTCAAAGTTTCTTTATTTTTCTGCACTGTATGTTGGTGCTGAACATATTAAAGTTTTAATAAATTGTAAAAATTTTAATAAGTATATAGCAAAAATTTTAATGGGGGATCTTAGAAATGAAATGGTGTGGAAAAGTAGTAAGAGGGTAATGGAAGTGAAAAGGGTAAGTTATATTTTTTTAAGGGAGATAAGGTATGAATGGAGTAGTTATATTGAAGGGAGGTAATATTAGTGCAGGAAAAAAAAGGGAACATGAATAAAATTTTGATTAGTATTTATTTGGAAAAATGACTTTTGTTTTCAATTATTTTATAAATAATGTTTTTTGGATTTTTTTAACATTCAGCCATCTCCCACCGAGGCAGAGTGACCCAAAAAAGAAAAAAACACTTTCACCATCATTCACATAATCATGTCTTTGCAAAGCCCTCCCAGATACAACATTTAAATGTCACTAAATTAAGTATACAAACAGAATTTTGTGCATAAAAATTTTTCACAGCCCTATGGTATGACAAATGAATTTAAATATTGGAGAACCATGTTTATGTTTAAATTTTTTTCCCGGGTGGGCTTTACCAAGCAGAGGGCCCCCAGGGCGGGGTTCTTCCCCAGCCTATAGCTCGGGGATGAGTGCAATGGCTTCATCTGCAGTGTTTGCCCGTTCTGGGAACCAACTGATGAACCCTGGTAAGTCGCAAGTTTTATCCTTTTTTTAATCTCAAATTTTGTTGGAATAAAAATTTTTTCTAGATTTTTGGTTATTCGGCCTTGATTCCCTAAAAACTGGCTTCTTTTTCCCAACTTCATACACATTAAATTGTGTAAATTTTGTTGAATTAGAGTGGAAGTTTTTTAGATGAAGCTGATTATTGCTAAAAGGGACTATATCACCAATTTTGATTCGGTGTAGGCCTACAGGTTGTGAAAAACTGCTTAATTTTCTACGTCAGCAATGAACTCTCATTTTGGTCGGGACTTCAAAGTAGAAGTTTAAAAAACCAGTCTTACGTACAGGTAGAGGGACAAAGAAAAAAAAATTTTATGGTTAAAAAAATAGCATAGTCCACTCTAAATATTTAAAACATAATAGTTTGGGGGATATACAGTGGACCCCCGGATTCATGGGATCGGTTTAAAAGTTAAAACCCGGGTTTTGATACATTTAATGCAAAAATTTTGCCTCGCCACTCGTTAAAAAACCTGCCCCCAAAGCGATTCATCCGGGGCGCGTCCCTGTGGTGCCAGTGTTTACAAGCCCGCAGGTTTTTGGGTGATCTAAGCATACATCCGGACATTTAATTTCACAGTGTTTTTGGGCTTGTTTCTGCAAAATGTCACCCTGGGCCCCCGAAAGCTTCTTGTCAACCCTGTGGGAAAAAGAGTGAGAATTAGATGGAAAAAATTTAAAAAGATTTTGGGGTTGGGCTAACCCTGAGAAGCCATACCCGTTGTGGAATCCATTGTGCCCACTTCAAAAAAAAAGGAAATGGTTTCAAAATGGGTTGAACTGCAAACCTTATGGGTGAAAATCGCCCCAACACAGCATTGGGAAACCGGCTGGTGACTATTACAATGACAATGTTTTGGCCCATTTTAGGGCAATCTTTAAAAGGGAAGGGAGGTCAGACTCTTGGACAGATTTGTTGTGCGACAAGGGCCAGTGACTCTCAAGTGGTCCCAGTGGCTTAAAAAAGGGAAGTAACCCCGGGAAAAAGGGCTTGCACCTCAATCCTAATGGGGGGGGATTCCCCTTCTAAACCTTAACAAATTCGACACTCTCCCCTCCCCCCATCCCTCTCCACCAGTCTTCATTAAAGGAAGTTCAGTATTTATTGTTAGTAGTACTATAACTGTCATGTCTTCTTTAGTTTTTGTGCATTAAACTTAATATTTCATGTGGTAAAACTTTTTTTTTCATAGTACTTTTGGTTGTCTTGCACAGATTAATTTGATTTCCATTATTTCTTATGGGGAAAATTAATTCGCCTTCCGATAATTTTGGCGTACGATGAGCTCTCAGGAATGGATTAATATCGTATACCGGGGGTCCGCTGTATTGTGTACTTTTATACATATATACTTCTAAACTGTTGTATTCTGGGCACCTCTGCAAAAACAGTGATTATGTGTGAGTGAGGTGAAAGTGTTGAATGATGATGAAAGTATTTTCTTTTTGGGGATTTTCTTTCTCTTTGGGTCACCCTGCTTTGGTGGGAGATGGCCAACTTGTTGAAAAAAAAAAATAAGTAGTAGGTTAACCCTTTGTTTCAGTCGTATATGTACGTCTTACGAGGTACCGTCTTTGACGTATATATTATACTCATAAATTCTAGCGGCTTCAAATCAAGCACGAGAAAGCTGGTAAGCCCACATGTGATAGAATGGGTCTGTGTGGTCAGTGTGCACCATACAAAAAAAAATCCTGGAGCACGCAGTGCATAATGAGAAAAAAAAAATTCCAACCGTTTTTTTTTTTTATTAAAATGGCGAGTTTGTGGTCTACAGTGGTCCCTCAATAATCGTCCGTTATCCGTTCCTGGAAGTGGGACTATTATCGAAATGGACGATTTACGAATCAATTTTCCCCATAAGAAATAATGTAAATTCAATTAATCCGTTCCTGACACCCAGAAGTATTAAAACAAAAATTTTTTTTACATGAAATATAGATGTAGTACATGAACAATACAGTGGCACATGATGAATTAAACATTAACAGAATAACACTTACCTTTATTGGCGATTCTTCTTTGTGTATGGAAGACTGGAGAAGGAGACTGATTGGTGAATTACTGTTTGGAAGGGGAATCCCCTTCCATCAACAGAACCCTTGGTACCAATTGCTTTTCTGGGTTACTTCTCTTCTCTGTTTCCTAATGCCACTAGGACCCACCCTGAGAGTCACTGGAGTCCCTGTCTCACAAAAAACTGTCCAGGAGAGCTCTGTATCTGGCGTCTCTTTAAAACTTCCCTAAAATGGGCCAAGACTCTGTCACTGTACAAGTTGCCCCGATATGGCTATGCAAACATCCTTCTCTGGTGATGTTTCTCCATAAATCTTTCCATCCTACCCCACATTTCAAAATCTCCTTAATTTCTGAAGAGGTGGGCACCTCCTCCAATCTCTCTTTCCTCCTCCTCTGCAGCAAGATTCAGAGCTGCCATCTGTTCTGTTTCCGCTGAAGTCTCTTGCAGCTCTTCAGTGGTTAGCTCTTTTTTGTGGTCCCCCACCAACTCTTCCACATCCTCCAAACTCACATCCAACCCCATGGAAGCCCCCAGTCCACAATGGATTTAACACTGACATAGGCTCATCAGGGTCAGGCCCAAACCCTTCAAAAAAATCCCTCATTGTGGCACAATCTGGCCACAATTTTCTCCAAGCAGAGTTCAAAGTCCTGGTAGGTCCTCCCTCCCAAAGCCTTACCTATAAGGCTTACACAATGGAGAATACTGAAATGTTTCTTTCCAAAAATCTCGTAGGGTCAAGTGAGTGTCGCCTAGGTCACATTCAAGCACCTTCAACATTGCTTTGTGTAGAGTTTTTTTTTAAATTTGCAATGTCCTGCTGGTCCATGGGTTGGAGGAGAGGATGGTATTCGGGGGGCCAAGAACTTTTTAACTGTGATGACTCAAACTCCTTCAGAATTAGGTCATCAAAGTTTGAGATGAAGCAGGTGCATTGTCCATTACTACAGGCACTTGAGATCCAATTTCTTTTCCAGGAGGTAATTCTTCACACTAGGCCAAACACTTCGTTGAACCACTCCACAAAAATTTCCCTCGTGACCCTGCCTTACTATTGAATTCCAAAAGACACACACTATTTACTCTTCATAACATTGTTTTTCCTGAACACTCTGGATTTTTTCGAATGGTACACTAGTAAATGGCTTCACTTTGAAATCCCCACTAGCATTAGCACAGAACATTAGCGTCAGCCTGTATTTCATAGGCTTTGTGTCTCCTGGCATTGTTGCCTTTTTTTCCTCTTGTGTAATAAGGTCCTCTTTGGCATTTCTCCAAAGGAGGCCCTGTTTCTCACAATTGAACACTTTTCAGGTTTTCAGTCCTTCCGTTTATGTACTCCTGGAATTCATGCACATATTTTTCAGCCGCCTTGTGGTCGACGAACGGCAGCGCCTCACCATGCCTTATTACCACACTGTATATGCCAGTACGCTTCTTAAATCTCTCAAACCAGCCTTTGCTAGGCATAAATTCCAACTCACATCCATCACTAGTTGCAGGCCATTTTCTTTACCAAAAGCTCATGCAACCTGCCTAGCCTTTTCAAAATAAGCGACGTCATAAGACTGTCTCCCTGCTAATTGTTTCTCATTTATCCACACCAATAATAACTTTCTCACATCTTCGAGTACTGGTATCTCATTTTTGTCCAGCATATTACCCCCTTTGCAACAACAGCGTCCTTGATTTCCTTATTCAGGCTATGATGAAGATATGGTTGTACTGGATTTGTTTATTACATCCTGGCCAGTTCGCCCACACGTACGCCCCAATCATATTGTTCAATGATGTTTTTCTTAATTCAATCGTATTTCTCACATTCTTTATCAAAGGCTTGGCACTAGGGATGCTTTCTCTTTTGGAGACCATGGTAGCTTATTTAGCACTTAAATAACTTTGCAAGCACTAAAATAAATGAAATTACAGTGACCCCACGCATAGCGACCTTAATCCGTGCAAGAGGGCTGGCTGTTATGCGAAAGTTGATCGCTATGTGAATGAATTTCCCCATAAGATATATTATTATTTTTTATTTTTATTATCACACCGGCCGATTCCACCAAGGCGGGTTGGCCCGTAAAAGAAATAATGGAAATCAAATTATCCGTGCAAAGACAGCCAAAAGTTTTTGAAAAAAAAAATTTAATCACCACATGAAAATATACATTTTCCTTTCCTACACACAAAGAGAGGATACATGCACAATAGTAGAGTAGTACATGCCACAATATATATTGTGCATGTACTACTCTACTAAATGAAGAATAAATGAACACTTACCTTTATTGAAGATGCAAGCAATGACTGATGAGACACCTGTGGGTCCTGGGAGTGCCTTTTCCTCCTGAGTACTGTAGGTCCTGTTTGGTATTTTTTCTTCCATAACAGGCCTTGTCACACTGTGGTAAGTTCACCACGATTCTTAAATCTCTCAAACCAACCTTTGCTGGCTCCTAAATTCACCAAATATGAGCATACTAGTTCCAGGGCATTTTCCCTGTTCACCTGGTGTTAGGTCGACTGGTGTGGGTTGCATCCTGGGAGACAAGATTTAAGGACCCCAATGGGAAATAAGTTAGACAGTCTAATCTTTCGATGACACTGACTTTTTTGGCTATCCTGGGTGGCAAATCCTCTGGGGTTAATTGTTTCTTGGTATTCTCAATAAGCCACACTCAACAACGGTCTACAGCAGCACAGACGATGCTACAGCAGCAGCAGACGATGCCAACATGCAGAGCAGACAATGCTAGAGCAAGCAGCAGCATACGATGCCAACAGCACGCAGACGATGCTACAGCAGTCAGCAGATGATGCATACCAGCAGCAGCAGACGGTATCTACAGCAGCAGGAGCAGCTGACGGGGGTACAGCAGCACAGCTTGACAGTGAGCACAGGCAGCTGACCGGTGATACAGCAGCAGCAGCATCTGTAC